TTATTTTGGAATTCGAGTTGGACGATAAGTTTTGCTTCAAAAAAGATGAAAAATGGCCTACTCAATCGGGGTCACGTGACTTTCGCTACATGTCAAAAGTGACATTTTTTCAAATTCGCTGAAAAGTAGGCTTATTTGTTCGAATATCAAAAAAGTTTACTTGAAAAAGTTGTTTCTATTTCAATTTTACACATGCTCCTTGAATTTGATCTGTCTATTGCAACTTTTAGATTTTGATTTTTTTTTAATTTTTCGAAATTTCTGTAATATTTGAAGAATTGTTAATTCCACGAAACTACTTTCATACCAGTAGCTTTTTCATGCTACTTACTTTCGATTGCTTATTATCACTGATTATGGACATAAATATGATTTTCTTCAGAAAATGATAATACCCGCTTCCAAATTCTGTTATCGTTTGATGCAAAGTTGATATATCGTCAAGCATTTAGAAACGAAATTCATTTAAACTGATCTTTTCAGTACTGAAAAAATATGTTTGGATCAAACATAACAGAATTTTGAAGAGGAGATTATCATTTTTTGAAGAAAATCATATTTTATTTGTCGATACTTAGTGATAATTAGTAATTGAAAATTAGTAACATGATGAAGCTACTGGTATGAAGTAGTTTTATCGAATTTACAATTTTTAATATAGAAACAACATTTTCAAGTGAACTTTTTTGATATTCGAACAAATAATAGCCTACTTTCAGCGATTAATTTGAAAAAATGTCACTTTTGACATGTAGCGAAAGTCACGTGACCCCGATTGAGTAGGCCATTTTTCATCTTTATTGAAGCAAAACTTGACGTCCAACTCGAATTTCAAAATAAGTCATTAATAAAAGTTTTTCCCATATGATGCCGACTTTATGAATGACACTGTATATACCGTTAGTTTGATTTCACATGACCCACTCTACCACCCCACTTCTTTTGATCCATTTCTTATGCGACACCCTGTAAAAGTGGAATTTTGGATAAAAGGTCCTGCGTTTCTGTAAGAAAATCATCGTTTTACTGTTTCAAAATTACTTCACAGATATTGATACTCGGTATTAGACAGAAACTTTATCTACTTCTAAATGCCTTTAAAACTGACAAATCATGTTCCTTTCGGCTGGGTAGGGTGAAGAAAAGGAATATTCACTACTGGAATATAATAATTTTATTCAAATAAAACCTAAAGCAATGCATTGTACTTGAATATATTACATCATAAGTAAACACTAAACTAACTTTACTGTATGAGATGTATCCCTTGATAATTTCAAAATTTTACCACATAAAAATACAATAATACACAATCAACAACAACATACCTTCACTTTGCTCACAATTTACGAAATATATAGTTCTGGTAATTTCCTAAAGCTAAATAGTGCTGGATGAGTTAATACCATACAGTCTTCCACCCAATCAAACCATCCCAAAATGATCCAGATATTCGTAAATCAATCAAAAAAATTCCAAAAGCGTTGTTATGATTAATAAATAATATTGGTTGGTACGATGTGAAAACTTGGTGGATGCATTGAAAATGCCATCAATTTGTTCTAGTGGAAATTTTGAAAATAAAGTCTGATTATGGAGTTTATAGCAGGAAACAATCATGCAGATTTCAGCAAACCAATCAATTTTCATTCAGGAAAACTCAACCTATAAGAGGTATCCTGACTAACGTAGGTATTTCATTTTCTATTTTCGAGAAACATTCCGGATAGGTACATTTGAGAAAGAAATAATATTGTGGCTAAAGCATTATTTGATTTTTTGAAAGTTTTTTTTAGATGAATAGCGAGACGTATCAGCGCATATTTCATAAATATTTTCATGTTGTACAGGGTGTGTCAAAAACACCAGACGTATCAAAGTTGCTATTTTGTAAATAGAATGCCCTCTCTGTATATTATTGCATTTTTAGATTCTCCCTGAAAAGCTGATTTTCATCAATATATCACACTTGGGGTCTCGCGGGAATAACTACATAGCTATAGGGTGTTCAAAATCGAGATTTTTCAACTTAATTTTTTTTTCGAAACCATTCATTACATTCGTCAAACAAAAAATCAAATCCTTTAGCCACAATGCTCCGTGTTGAACAATATTATTCCTGGGTTCAAGATAATGTAAACCGATTATTTGAAATAACAAAGTTGTTGCTACTTTTTGATAGAAGCGACGACACTGCATTGCTGAGATTATTTGAAATGAAGAGAGCATGTTCTAAAATATGAGCATCCATATTTTCATGGATTTCTCCCTACTGATTCTTGATATAGAGATAGTGTAAGGTCGTCGTGACATACCCTGTATATACCAGAAGGTGCCCCTAAAAGGTCTATACAGAAACTCACCATATATTCCTCAGACCAAAACAATTTGATACAACCAAACTTATATACTGCAATACAAAGTTGCTCGGTTTGGGGCTTGACAGCTCCGAAGTTAAAATGTTCAAATCGTTTTTACTTCATAACTGTCAAACTGTCATGAAATTTCACCCAAATTTGGTACATTAAATAGAAAACCTAAATCATGATCATAATGAATATTATTTTGTTGGCGTAGAATTTGATTTTTTCAGTAAAAAAACATCTGAAACTTCTACACCAATAGAAATAAAGTGATTAGAATATGAACATTTGATTAACTTGATTACTACAAAGAAGTTAGTCTAGATAATATTCTATTACTCTCATATGGTTTCGATAAAATTTGAATTTTATTAATTCAAAGCATCAGTTATCAGTGAAAAACAATCGACAGATATATAATGAAAATTATTGTTAAAAATGATCATCATTTTAACAACGAAAAAAATGGATACGAGCGCTAGACGGTTCTGGCATACTTAGTAAAAAAAAAAGAACAAAAAATATAAATCTTTGTATACGTGCAAATGATGAAAATGTTGAAAAAAATTTATTAAATATATGTTTAATTGCTTTACTGTTGACTGATGCTCTGAATTACCAAAATTCAAGTAACGCAATCCAAATTTCATATTCAAACCCCTTTGTTTCCGTTGGCGTAAAAGTTTAAGATGTTTATTTACTGAAAAAGTCAAGTTCTACACCCATGGAATGACATTCATTATTCATGATATGGAATTAATTTCCTGATTAAGTTAAGCCAACGCACCAAATATGGGTTAGATCTCTTGAGCCGTTTCAAAGTTATGAAGCAGAAACGATTTGAAAATTGTAACTTCAGAGCAGTCTAGCTAGGGCCCAAACCAAGCAAGTTTGTAAGGAGGTGAGTTTGCTTGTATCGAATTGTTTAGGTCTGAGGAATATGTAATAAGTTTCTGTAAAGACCTTTTAGAAAATATACAGGGTGTCCCTGTATATTTTCCGAAAACTATAATTCCCTGATGCACATATAACACTTTGTAGCTCCCCAAACGAATCATACTTGGGGTTGAGGATGTATAAACTAGATTCAGCTTCACAACCACTTATTTTTCCCAAAAAAAAAAAATTGAAGCATCTTAGAATTTTGTCATCAACCTTACAATTTTCACAAAAATGATTCCAAATGATCTCACAAATAATCGATAATCTAACTTTGCCACGGCATTATTTTGATTTTGATTGATTCGCTAAAACCTACATGGATCTGAGCATTTCTCATCTGGAAACTCAAAATATGTCTAATACTTGATAAAATAACATTCAGTCATGAGGGATGAACAAATGTAAAAGTATCAGACATCGAAATAAATGAAAGGTAATTATAAAACAAAAATGAATCATTCATCTAAAAAAATTATATACAGTACACAATGTCCCATTCAAGTTGAAAATCTATTAATTATCACCTCATTCACAAAAAAATTAGAGAATTGCATTAGCGAATATTATTGAGAGAGGAGCTGAACGACCATAATGCGATGAGAATTATAATTATTATACGATTATTCTGTCAATTAGCATAATTGCAAGATTTATAAGCCTCAATTGACGGATTATTTTGACTACAAGATGCACCTTGCAATGAGGGCAATTAGACAAATAACTAATCACAAGATATATAATGCAATTAGGGGTAAAACTGCATATTTATCATGCGATGGGTTTTTTGCGAAAAATTTTTTTGGTACTTACGTATTTTTGTCTGAAAAACACGAGTTTGATAATGAAAATGTGAACAAACTACTATTTATCGAGATATTTCAAGAAAAACTTCGAAATTTCGCGTTCTTTTTTCCCTTATTGTGTTGAATGCATTCACAGCTTACACTTTATATACTCATGATGTACTTCAATGACACATTTTTATATAGAAAATTCAACAGTAAATATGATTTTCATAGCGAGTTTTTTATATTTCCAGAACCAGTATACCTACCAGATGACGGCCATTTAATCGATAGTCAATCCAAATACGAGATGTCAAATGTCAACAGATTGCTTTTGAATGATATTCCACACGCTATTATTTTAAATGATATTCCTAATTCTCTTCACTAAATATGGATAAATCACAAGAAAATCATATTTCTTCTTTTACCCAATTAGGGCTTAATAGACATATTTATCATACTGATTGTTAGATATGTCCACTTAACTTGTCATTATCTTAATTGTAAGAATAGCTTTGCAATTATAAATATGAAAGAACAATACATTTTTCGCGTTATAGCTGTTCAGCGCCTTTATATTTTTCTCATTTAACCATCCACAGTTAAAATGAATTTCTAGGAAAAGAGGAGGGGGGGTATCAGAGACCGGCATTTTGAATAGCAAAAAAATGATCCAATTGAATAAAAAACTTCTTGAACTATAAATCTAAAAGTGAATTCATGCTCACTGCATTTTCAATAATAGTTACTCATCTGTAATTTGACAATCATCAACTTTTCACTAAGATGTTTGAAACATGGTAGGTAGGCATTTCCATTCAACCATTTATGAAAAGTGTGACTTGCGCAGGGATCGTTTTGTCACAAGTCCGACAACCAATGACTTCCTTCCCTATTTTTTTCGGATTGTCGTTAGAATTTCTAAAGATTCAGATAGAGTTAATATGTTAATTAACATTGTCTGACTATGAAGAATTGCCGTGAAATGCATCAACTTATTGTCGGGCAACGCAAATTTTTATGTTAACTGTGAAAGGTTAACGTTTTCAACTGAAAGTAATTTCTACATGAATACGTGAACTGATGAGAAAATTCACAAATAGGCAAACACTATTGACAAGAAGGTAACAAAAAAAAATGTTTCCATGATCAAAAACATCAATGACAACGGTATACACGATTTCTTCCCCATACAAGGATTTTGACTGAGCATGTTTCACTTTTACTGTAGGCACTGCAATAGCAAATTCTTTTAGACCTATCAGACCGATTTTGGCTTTGGCGAAAAATTGAGTATAGTATAGCGTAACGTCAGCAATTTCTGTAAATAATGAGGATAGAAATTCTTTGACAATCCCAACTTCTTGTTCATGATGAATGTCAAATTTCTTCCCCAGGTTTTTTTCGAAATATTTCTGGAACAACTGAACATTTTTCAGTTTGCACTACGGCATATCAAGTCTAATTTACGCAACTTTTTTCTTATTTGATCAACTTTCTATCCAGTACCGTTTAGGTAATAGTAGAGGGACTTTAGAAATAGAGTGACGACAATAGTGGTAAACGTTTTGATTGGCCAGACCTTCAATATGGAGGTGCATCCACTTGTTTTCTCCATTCAGTTCTACGCGTTCAATTTCACTTTGTTAATGCGTTGTCTCTGTTTTTTGCTCTTTGGACGTAAAACATCAAAAATCAGACATGGAACTCTATACGTCAGTACCTTGGATATCAACTATTAGAATCCGTCTTTTGGAACTCGTAAGTCTCAGATTATTTGGATAATGAAATGAAAATCAATCAAATATGTAAACCTTGGTGGTGGGCACTTCGAAGGCGCAAATTCATTACTGCATGGGAGATACCCTTCAGATTTTAAGCTATTCAGTGACTTGACCACGAATGACATTCTGGGAATGGCAGCGACTTTTAGGAATATTGTCGTCACTCTAGCAGTACTGTACCTATGATCAAAATCAGCAAGACCCTGAATTCTGGAGTCAAAACAGACAAAAAACCTACATAGTTATCACCTCTTGAAAGAAAATTGTTTGATTGCTTCCTACTCACCTCATTTCCTCTGCTAATTTCATTACTTTGTAAAACAAACAAGTGACTTCCGAGCATCTCAAACTGAATCAATTTTAAACAATAATAATTATAAAATCAAACAATTATTATCCACGGCTTTTGGCGGTATTTTATTGGCACAGTGTTATGAAATCGAAAAACAAGAACACATCCGTAATCTCTTGTTGTTTTTGATAATGGAAACTACTGCTTAAAAATACATTTGATGAGATGAATGAAAATTGACGAATTAATCGTCAGTCGGTGGTGGAGATGGAGAGCTAGAAAATGTCTTGAGCGCCTTCGACTTCTTTGGCGGATGTTGTTGGTTGGGTGAACTGTAGGGGTGTCTACCAGCAGCACTGAAAAAAAAATTCGGTTCATCTTTATCTCTGAATTTTTGGAATTTCCTCTCCTCCATTTTTTCGAGGGGATGATCATGCACCCAAAATGTGTAACCTGACCTCAAAACATATTAGCCCTCATTCGAAATAAATAATTGGTTGTTCTTTTACAATCGTGAACCTCTGTGTTTCATTCTCGTCAATTAAGACTCACTTTTAGATGAACTTGAAAAAATATTTTCTTCTTGAGTGTGAGTTATATTTTGTTGAATGTATTTGTATATATTCACTATGTTCCCTGCTATGAACAAGTTTTGTTTCTTGGGAATGAGTAAGTTGATTGATTGATTGGATGTGTCGATATTGAGATAAAACTGTGAATTATTTATACTTATCATAATGAATGAATGAATGAATATATCATGGAATCTGAATCTGTGAATAATGACAACTTGTGATACACACAGGGCGAGTCAGTTTTTTGTAGCACGACTTTAACAGCTGAGAGAAGACCTTTTTTAAGATGAACACCTCATGTAACCATACAGGCTGATTCACGGTGAATGGACGTTGCCGGAGTACGCAACGTAGGATTGTTTTGAAAATTTGGTTCCTGGGATAATTAGTTGTGTTCTATCGACCTGAAATATTCTCAGCGCTGCAACGTTGCCACTTATATTGAATAGTAGCAAAAACTTGATTTTTTTCAATGGGACACCCTGTATATCATTCCGTTTTCAGATTCTCCCTGGAGAGCTGATTTCATTGATCTATCACACTTGGGTCCAGCGGGAATGCTAACCAAGATATAGGGTGTGGAAAATCGATATTTTCCAATTTCAAGAATTTCTTGTGTCGAAACTTTGTCGAAACTATTCATAATTGTTCAAAACGGTTCCCATGACCCTATCTTAACTTTTCACGTACTATCAATTGATATGTAATTGAAGTAGATACAGGGTGGTCAAAAATCTTAATTCTGAACCACCCTGTATTTATTTCAATTAAAAATCAATTGATAGTGAATAAAATGTTGGGATATGGACATGGAAACCGTTTCGACCAATTATGAATAGTTTTGACACAAACATTCCTAAAGTTGAAAAATATCGATTTTTCACATCCTGTAACTTTGTAATCAATATTGCTAGACCCCAAGTATTATAGGTCAATGAAATCAGCTCTTCAGGAAGAATCTGAAAATGGAATAATATACAGGATGTCCCATTTGAAAAATCAAAGTTGTTGCTACTTTTCAATATAAGCGGCAACGTCGCAATGCTGAGAATATTTTAGGTCGATAGAACACAACTAATTATTCAAGGCACCAATTTTTCAGAATAATCCTGAGTTGTGTCCACCGTGAATCGTCCTGTATATGCGTGCGTAGTTTCGTTTCATATATACAGGGTTTCAAAGTTTGAGATTTTTCTAGTGTTTTTCAAGTTTTCTCCTACATTTCACGTAGTAAACTTTGAAACAATATATTTGAAGCTAAGGATGATACACTTTTGGGGTCGTGCAAACTTAGAAACCCTGTATATCGGAAACGAAGCCCCCACGCGTTTACATGAGGTGTTCATCTTGAAAAAATATGTTTTTTAAGCTGTTAAAATCCTACTACGAAATACGGACTCGAAAAATGGAGTTTCATTACCAGTAAATTATTTTTGGCATTTATCGTGAAACCCATACAATATTGGAAAAAACAAAAGGGAAATGTTTATAGAAGATTTTTATCTTGAAAAAATGCCTCCTTAAAGCTGTTGGAATAATAAGCTGTTGAATTTGAAAAAATACTGAATGCTGCAGGGTCGAAATAAAGTGAATTATTCTACGAACTTTGGTTTCTGTTGAAAACATCCAAAATCGATACCAGTTCATGGTGTTTTCCAAACAATCTATTTTGTTTTTAGTTTAATTTTTTGGACTTGATTGAGAATTGAGAATATTTTGCTTAAGGTATACTGATACTGGATAATATTTATACTTTCGAAATCATTGGGTATTTGATGTATTAATATTAAATGATATTACTGGAGCCATCGGACTCTGTATATATTATACCAAAAATTATTGTGATAAACAAAACATTGAACACTTTGATAAATAATCATGATAAATGTTAGATATGGTTCTAATTTATATGAATTATTTGCGATAGAAAATTATCCAACGTCCGATTGATGGATGTGACCAATTATCATAAAAAAATGAGTGTTAACCAAAACAGAGTAAACAGACCGCTTTGACAGCTTCCAAAAACAATCACTAAAGTTTATTTGAAATAGACTAGAAGAATAACTATTTTCGAAGATACATTCGGAATGTTACATTTTCCACAATTCCCACCAAATGGGAAATCAAGACCTGATGGCGTTTTTTTTTTGTTTCGATTGAAGGAAAAACAGAGATCCTATACTAGGAAATATTTTCGTATCCAGAATGCGAAATGATACATGAGAATTAAAAATTAATAAAGTAAATAAGTATTTTGCGTTCTAGAACAAGGAAGAGTCACTTCGCCAACTGACATTTTAACAAAAAAGTCAACATTTGATGACAGTTTTCGAAAAAATAGGAATTTGAGGAAATTTGAAACAATCGAAGAAGCGACTCCAGGTCAATATGTTTTTCATCATGCTGTGAGGATTATTAATTCATCAAATAATCTACTTGCATTAGTATTGTTAATAAAACCAAGTTCACCACGTCAAACAATGATATCAATATCTGAGATGTGATTACAATAAAAAAATGTTAATGAAATGAAAATAGCCTCTATTTTTCAATTGGAATCACCTCACTTTACGTATACAAGGTGATTCACCATGAATGTGTAAACTATTTTATAACCACTAACTGAGAGCCAGTGATGAAACATAACCTTATTCGTAATGGCAGTAATTTGAATAAGTGATAGGAAGAAAATTAATGATGTATCACCCTTAACAGTAATCACAGAGTCAACATAATTATGACTATTACTTAGGTACTTACTTGCAGTTGAATCAGTTCTACTCTGATCCACAAATACATTTTAATAATATCTTGATAACCTGTAAATGATACCAATACCATGTATTTTATCACTTCTAGCAACCATGATATATGTGCTTGATGATTGTGAAGTAGGTGATTCGTTAGGAGATTTTGTGCTTGTCTTTAAAAAGCATTTTCTATTATTAAGAAGCGACTTGAAAATGGCTTGTATCGGGTGTTCACAAAAAAATGGATGTTTTTATTTTCCTCGTGGTTTCATCATTTGTCAACCGAATTCGAATTTCTTGAGGTCATTTTATAGCTGAAGGACCATAGTATACAGTGCAATATTTGAAAATTTCATAATTGATAAAAACAAAATGGTGGACTATCTCAAACATTAGAAAAACCGCTGGCGAATAGGAAACTTGGAATTTTTTCAACCTGTACCTATGCTATTCTAGACCATTCATTTCTGAAGAGAGTGAGTACTCGAACATCGAAATCGAACAAATAGTCCAGGAGATACACTCACTTTTTCGCAGTTTGTTATTGAGTGAATGTGCTAATCTCGTAATAACGATTTTATTTTCTGGCAAATTGGAATCGATTTCGGATTTCTAAAAGCTATTTCGAAGATAAAAAGCTATATTACACAGTGGAACATTTGGAAATGTAATTATTAAAAAAAATATGATGTTGGATTGTCTCAAACATTTGTGATTTACAAAAACCGCTGGCGAATAGAAAAATGTTAATTCTTACAATCAGAACCGATGCAATTCTAGATCATTGATTTCTACAAAAAAATGAGCGCTCGAACATCTGAATCGAACAAATAGTCCATGAGATACTTGACATTATTTGTCAAAATCATTGATTTGAAAAATACATTTATTTACAACCATATGTAATATTTTAGGTATGTCCAGAACGAAACAGAGATTTATTAATTTTTTTCTGTGGCGGGAAAAAAGTTTGGCATTTCATCTCTGTTGGCAGGTTATAAAATGTCACTTTTCATAAATTACTTTTTTCCTGGATATATATCACATATATATATATACACTGTTGATGGCTTTTGTTGTGCTATAGTTCCGAAAAGTGAGTCAATAATACCGTCTCCGAGAAAGAACTGCAAGTTCTTTTATCTTCCATTCGACTTCACGGTTACGTATATTACTAAACAACCACTAAATTCGCAATTTTTTTAAATCAAATCACAGAAATAGACTGACAGAAGTGACATCAGATATTTGATTACTTCAAAAGAATGATAAAGATGCCTACAACGCAGGTGTCCCTACTGTTAAAAACTTGAAATTTCACGTCAATAATTTTCAGATTTCAAAATAATGTAATATCTTCTCAATATTGATCCTTCCTTTCTTCTGTCACAGAAAAGAATAGTGTATTATACACGGGAAAAATATTAGATTTTAGCTCACGGTGTTTTGTCTCCCACACAACCTGGAGCTAAAATCTACTACTTTTTTCCCTTGTATAATAAATAACTATTGATCAAAATACGATGGTTGTAAATAAAATAGTATACAAAGCTCGGTAGGAAGTTTTATTCCTGTATCGAGGTCATAGCTAATCTCGACGCTTTGCGTCTCGGTTAACTAACTAATATCATGACAGGAATGAATCTCTTCCTACCTCGGTGTGTTATATACTATTCTTTTGTGTTGAAAATAGTAAAATATTCATAATACAAGTGATAAAAGTAGTAGATTTCAACTCCAGGTTCTGATACATAAATCTAGAATCTAATATTTTTCCCGTGTATGATATTCAATTTTTTTCTGTGACAGGAAAGAGGAGAAGGTATCATATTACATTAAAATCAGAAAATTATCGACGTGTTTGAAGTTTTTAACAGGAATTACACGTCTTTATCATTTTTTTCAAGTTTTCAAACATCTGTCAGTCTAATTCTGTGATTTGATTTCAATAAATTGCGAACTCATTGGTTGTTTTGTAATTTATGTAACCGCGAAGTGGAATGGAAGATAAAAGAGGACTTGCAGTTA